GACGTGTCTGTAGAATTATGGCACTAAGGAAGTCTAAAGGCGGATTTCCACTTACAGCGAAATCGTTCGCTAGCGAAATATCTGCATGTTTTCTTTTGAATTCAGAACAGTCAAGTCGCACTAATTTATTTATGCTGTTAAAATTCAAAAGAAAATATGCAAATATTTCGCTAGCGAACGATTTCGCTATAAGTGGAAATCCGCCTTTAGACAACTAATTGAAATTGCGACAGGGTTTTAAGCTACCGTTACGTACAATTCATAATATTGTAGAAAAATTTATCCCGGATAAAGGCAACCTGAAACCGAAAAAACGAAGCTCGCGAATGGATGTTGTTATTACGTGTACATAACGTATACAAAACGGATGAAGCCAAGTACCTATGCTGTAGAAATCCAAAAAGCCCTTGAGCATAATAGAGTATATTTATCGCAAAACATTCGATTGGAAGGGTGTTGAGAAACGATCGTTTTTAACGTTTGGAATGCTTTTGAATTAGCTTCTTCATCTAAATTTCCCTTCACATCCACTGAGATAACTCGTCGCCATGTTGCATGTAAATCAAATTTACGAAATTCTGAATTCGTCTCGAAGTTCGCACTTTCGTTCGGAAGTTCCTTGCGAACTTCATGCCAAATGCAGAATTTTTACGATGAAAGGTCAGCCGATATATATAAATTATCATGCGAGGTCAATAGTTAAGAAATATAACCAGCTATATTTGTATGCTATATAGCTATAATGGACCGGTTACCATATTTCTTTTCACCGTGGGATTAAGTTTTGTCTTATACTGACTATTTTTTAGAAGTGCTCAAGAAATTCTTCGTTCTGCGGAATCTATTCCAACCTTGGGCACTCAACTTAGCATTATATCATCTGTTAAATCTGCAACGCCTCAAGATAAATCTGTAAGTACTTGTGATATAGTACTTCATGTTGTACTGATACAATAATCCTGGGGGGCGATGTTCAATGCTCAAAATTATATCATCTGTTAAATCTGCAACGCCTCAAGATAAATCTGTAAGAACTTGTGATATTGTACTTCATGTTATACTGATACAATTCATACAAAAGGGACCATAAGTTTGATTTTGAAATATGCTGTAGAAAGGCAGGTTTCTCCGAGGGAGACGTTTTCTCCCCCAAGGGTGATTAAGCAGTGAAACCACTCCAAAATGATAATTTTAACTCATGCCTACCAAGCAGAATTGATATACTGCTGCTGTTTTATCAAAACCTCGCCATGCATTTCTACCTTCTTCAATTAGCTAGAGAAGTGTTTCGCAATTGTTCGTGTTAGAACGAACAAAATATTGAAAGCAGCATGACATTGTCCTTCAAAGATGACGGAAAAGTTTTCTTGTCAACTTTCGCCTTCTGCATAAAGAAATAACAGGATAATTTGCCAATACTTTTATAGGCGGACAATATTCTCGTTCGAAACTCTCAGAATCTGATGGACGCGGTTGTTTGCACATTGAGAGTGATCGAAGGAGCCACTGTTAAGGTATGCCATGCTAGTAGTCTACAAGATAAGTAAAAATATGCTGAATTCATATGCAAATTTGCCGCATAGCTGCTGTAATTTCACAGAATGAACTAAATCTTGTTCACTTTGGGACCTAAATGCATTCTAATCGTGCCGAGAGGTAAAACAACTGTCCGCAACAGCGGCTTGTTGGACACAAGGGAATTGTCTGATTTGATCAGGTATAAGTTGGCAGCAAATTTATAAATGAATAGACATCAGATTTCTTACCAGTGGCGTAGCCAGCCTGACGATTTTGTCCCGCTATGTAAATTTCGAGTTATTATAATTATTCATGTCTTTAGAAATCTATTGTTTTCACAGTCAGTAAACACGAAAATATTAGCATAGCGGGACAAATCGACAGGCTGGCTACGCTACTGTTTCTTACCATCCTGTCTGTATATACATGTACTTTATTTTGAAAAAAACGTAATAATTTGTGGTCGCAGGAATATACTAGGAAGTGTTGTTTTTTTCAAACACGTGAAAGTTTGCGAAAACATGAAAGTTGTTACATGAAGATAAGAATATAGTGTCTAGAATTCGATTCACTAAAGAAATTCAATATGGCTGATGCTGATGAATTAAAATCGCAAACACAAGACAAAGCTTCAATTAATATATCAGCAGAACATTTGAGAAGAGCAGACATCTTTAAGCTCTGGATTTTGTGTCGGAATGCGAAAACATAAAATATTATACACTTAATGTATGCTCCCGAGGGAAATAATGAATTTGTTATCCCAATTGTCTGAATGTTTCCCGAGACGAACTCGAGAGAAACATTGAGACTCGAGGAAAAACAAAACTGACTATTTCCCGAGGTAGTGTATATTAAGTGTTTTGTTATATAGGAACAAAAACATACAAGTTACACAACAATTTCATTAAAAAAACACTTTACTTTGTTATTACAAGAAGCGGGCAACAATTTTTCACTTGTTTCCCTGGCGGGAAACATTGCATTTATTTAAAGTCGTGTGACTACGAATAAACCAATCACATTTAAAATACACAGCACCTATAAAACAATTACATTTATCTTTACAGGGTCTAAACCCACCTTCTCGACAGCATGAAGGCAACGTGAGGGCAACTGATGTCGTTTTTGAGTGGAAGAGAAAGTTAAGACGTCAGAGAAGCTTAGAAGCATTATCAGCTGAGCGAGGGAATCTGGGATTGCGCGTGCGCGATAAAAGCCTTTCAGATCCGTCATTAGTGGACATTCTGCACATCTGATACAGGTTAGAGTCATTTTGATTTAAATGGACCTTTTCGATAATTACGTCACAATATTTTAACGTCCCAACGTTTTAAATTTGGAACCACCTTAAATGAAATGGATTTCAAGTTTTACTCTCACGAGCCACGTGCAAAGATGCAAAACATCCTTTTCAACACTTGCATGAAAAAGATTTTTTATTTTGACCAATAAATGTGGAAATAAGCCATAACACGAGAACGAGGCTGAGGGGCCAAGACCGCGAGCCTTGTTCTCGCGTAATGTCGTATTTCCATACTTTTTTGTGAAAATGAAAAATACTTTTTCATGCATGTGTTGAAGAAAGATGTTTTGCATCTTTCTACATAGCTCGTGTGAGTAAAACTTGAAATCCATCTCATTTAAGGTGGTTCGAAATTGAAAACGATAATATTGTGGCGTAGTTACCGAAAAGGTCCATTGAGACATACGTTGAGGCAGATGTTGATATTCTTAATTGCTGTAATTTCTCCTCTTTGTTAACGGTGTACGGTCGAACTTTATCAAATCGTCAGCAAATTTAAATTTTCACCAACAGCGACGCCATCTTGAAGAAAGACGCTTTATCGATTACGTATCGTAAAAGTCACATATTCTAATAACAAGGAGCATCTCGTTTTAGACCAATCAGCAAGTTTGTTTACATTTTCAGTAACCCAATCAGAATGCAAAAGTCATCTGGTCTACTTCCGGTAAAAAGGTACATTATTTACCATTTTACACGAAGTATTTAAAGTTTAGGCATTGAGTGGCCGGTTATATGAAAGCCGGATAGCACTACCCAACGGATATTGTTTTTTTCAATCGCTTTAAAATCGCCCGTAGTTTGCTATTACCTTTATCAAATCTTCATATTTCAAATCGAGGATCTTCTTTAATATTTGTTGCTTCCAAAGATGAAATTCTATCGCTTTTTGAGCATTTTTAGAACGGTTGGAAAAATCACTATCCTCTGGTGGATAGCGCTATCCGGCTTTCATACAACCTGCCCCTGATTGGCTTTGCCTGAAAATGTAAACAAATCATGCCGATTATTTTAAAACAAAATCCCTCCCTGTTTATTCAAATGACTTCTGGGGTATTAAGAGATGTATTTTATGCCCACCATGTTGCATTATCGATTTAGGCATTGCATTTTAATCAACAATCGACCCCTCCCGAGTTTCAACTGTGCCTAATATAGTTCCTTCGTTTACAACATATCACATTATATAACTTATGATAAGTTAGCCATTTTCTTAATACGTGGTTTAAATAATTAAAATCAAATTTGAACTTTGTCGGAACATAATATTTTAAACATTTAGTTGCTGACTTAGTTCAAATGCTGTGGAAGTAGTTTATCTTGTATAGTAAGATGATTGACAAACGTCTTTCTCGTTCAATTTGTGTTAGAAATTAACACTGCCGCCTGTTTCTATTTACAACACATCACATTTTAACTTTTAAATTTGAATGTATACACTACATTACGTGGGAATACGGACGGTTGACCTTGAAAGCTCAATACATGAAATAGGCCGTAAATTGTTAGTAATTTACGAATAGTATATATCTAAAAAAGTTAACGAATGGAAACCCCTTCAAAAATTTATTTCGTTTGACCTAAGTGGTTGAAGTAATTAAAATATAAATTTCACAATGTCGGCATCTTGCATTTTGAATTTTAGTTGCTATCTTTACTAAAAACGATATAGTTATACGACCAGGCTTCCTTTGAGTGTAAATAATATATTCTCTGGTTGTACACATGACATATAATCATTGACTGCGATAGTTCGGGTCAATTGGTATTGAAAATACACCTGTCATGCGTGCTTATATATTTATTTCACTGCGTAAGCGCCACTTTTTGCCACGTTATTTCGAAAGAGACTTAAAAAATTACTTTTGTGCATTTTATTTTCATAGAACTACATATTCTAATGACACTGATATATAGTATTTATAGGCCATTATACAGGCGTAATTATTATGCTGACATAAATTTATATTATCAGTATGGTAGAAGGTGCTGGGTGTGTATATTATAATATTACCTGTATTAACAATCAAAGCCTTATTTGTTATGATATTTTTGGAAGGCCTTTAGAATTGACATGCTACAATATTATAATGTCTCTGTAAGGTCACCGTTTATGCTAACTCGTTATTTTGAATACATAAAAACTCAACATATTCGCGTAGAAACTATGCAAGAAATCGTCAGGTTTTTTCAACCCATTAAGTTATCTTAATATTGACTAGAATGTGGTGTGCTATTTTATTTCTATTTTATTAATTATTGAACAAGTATGTATCCAAACGTCGCCAAATTTTTATCACCGTTATCGGCTAGGTACATAGCAACATTTCCACAAGTCCTTTCAGCTCCATAGCCAATCCAAGAATCACACGAATTACAATCTTCCTCGTTATTGGCTTGGAATCCAATTCGTATTCTGAAAACGGCATTAAACCCTTCCCTGTTGCAGTTTTTCTGAAGTGACGAACCGGCGATCAGAGATTTCCATGCTGCTCTACCAGCGGTCGTTGCCCTAAATTGGCCGTCCGCAATCACACTATACAGTGAACTTGCGGTGTCGTCGAGGGTCATCCATTTTGTGGCTTTCTTATGCGACATACCCAGGCAAATCTTTGTGAACGGAGTATTCCAATACGAAGCCAACTTGCTTTCTTTCTCTGTCAATCCTTCCAGACCATCTTGTGCTGCGTATGTCTCTTTGTTTGTCCACAGAGAAGAACCATAGATAAACGTGTTCTGTAAAATTGAAATCACTTCATTACAGATTGACTGATTAGAAGTGAATACGCACTTTACTCTTCGTGACTACAATCTCACCTTTGTCCCATCAAGTTTCATCACTAGCGTCCAACCTCCAACCCCACATCCTGGGATATCTGTCATGTGACAATATACCTTATATGGTGGCGAGCATTGATTCTTCTGCAACGTGTAGACACCATTGGGCAATGATCTAGATAGGCAACTGATATTAAATACTTACGTGGTGTGCCTAGAAGCTAATTTATTTATATTGTGATATCACCGTGCAAAATTACAAGGATATGACCATATGATAGATATATGGTTGTAAGAATTCTGCTGGAATAAAGGAATTGAAATTCATTGACTGTATTAGACCTTCGTCTACCGGTATATCTTTTTAACTTACGTATTCCTGGCAAGCAATTCCGTGCAAGATTGAGGAAAAGCGTTTTGTTGTTCATCTAAAAACATAAATATACAATATAGGATGAGGTTGTTTTCATTTTGGTCGGCATAACTTCAAAAATTTTAATTACCTGGAAAAATATTATTTTCCTGCTTTAACCCAACCTAAAAGCGACGAAAATAAATTCTTCACATGGACCCATAAAAGCAACAGTGGCGAATATCGTAAAATAATTTTTTGGGACGGTGCTACAATTTGCCGTCTCTAAAGCGTGGAGCAAATTTATTTTTTTTTGCATTTAAACAATTTGCTCCAGATGGTTGCAGCTGAGAGCTCTAAAGGGTGAAATAAAAGTAAAATGTCGCTTCACACGAAAGTGATCGATATATAGTTGAAAACCGGCTTAAGACGGTGTCAATGGACACTTTAAGACGTTTGCGGTGAAACTAAAATTCATATCCGTCATTTTGCAATTAGCTATCTCGATATTGGTGCTATTGTCGGTAGTCGTTGATGAAGGAAGTGCTTAGTTATTTTTAATAAAATTTCTTGCTCATAGGCCACAAACAATACGTCGCTGACTGACGGTGACATATTAGAACCAAGCTTAAGTTATAAGAGTTATACGTAATATAATAAAAACATAATATCAAAGCTTAAAGTCCGTTTTCCCTTACGTCCTCTTGCGAAGCGCGCTCTGTTTTTAAAGCCCGTCACGCCCGCATGAGAAGATTTTCAGAGGCTGCTTCGCCCGCCTACAAAGCGAATGAAATGAATGAAACAGCCTTAAATTACCTGATAAATTTTCAAGGGAACATTCGTTTTAAAAGACGCGATTTACATATCGATGAACGTTGACTGTGTAAGCCGGGTCTGAAGATGTGTTTTATCACTCAATTTAATTTATTTAAATTCTATAGGTAATAATTCATCGGTTATGCGGGTTAATCTATAGCTCATCATCATTTAATTAACTTCATTTCTATCTTAGGCGTACGGCTGCCAAATAAAAGCATTTAGTTAATGGGATCTTCCAAAGTTCAAGTATTTTTTTCCAAAATCCGATTCTCTTTCTCCCGTCCAGGCCTGTATAATGTAGTAATTCGCATGAAAAAGAGCCGAATTTAAATTTTACTGTCAGTTGGAATTACTGTATTTTACCCTTTGCTTATTTTATTTCGGTAATTCAAAATGAAGAATAGCAGTGTTTTAAAATGCAGTTTGGAAGCAAAAGCTACGATAATTGGATGACGACATTAATTTTGCTTTAGCTGTCAGGGTATTGAATGGCCGAAATACTCCGTTCTTTCTTTGTGGAATGAAATTTCCAGCATTTATCGGTAAGAAACACTCTATACATTTACTTGTTTCATCGAGTTATAATCTTTACATGAGAAACTAATCTATTCTATACCGTGCATGTCCGTCGTCATGTTAATGCTTACTGGTTTTATGATCACAAGATGATTGAATTCATCGTTTGTCTTCTCGTCACCGTCGGTTGTTGCCTCCATTGTCCTTTCGTTGAGTTCACATCGACCTTTATCTTCACCAGAAGTTTTGAAGTTGGCTGACGCACATGATCCATGACGAGCGCAAAACAAACCACATTCAAACTCGGACTTTGCTTGTTTTGTTTCAATGACATGATTCGCAAAGTATTTTTGCTTATTTTTTCGAAAAACAGCTTCCTCTGTGCATTCGCCCATGACAAGAACCAGAAACAGCAGAGAAGTTCTTGAAAGGACACTCATTGCAAGGCAGATTGACCGTTTTGAACGCACAGTCATAAAAAGGATAGTTTATCTACAGTCGAACAATTAGCGGTTCATCCAAACAAACTATTAAGTGGCTTTTCATTTAAGGGATAGGCTAAATCTAAGTGTTGCTAAAAATAAAAAATAATAAAATAAATTTACACAATGTTAATGGACCTTATGTGGTATATAGTTTAACTTTAGATCTGAGGACAAGGAGAAAAACTAAAAAGTGCGTACAAAGATTAGTATAATTGCAAAGTCTAGACGCAAAATTTTGTAAAATGTGGAATTTGCTGCACGAAGTAGACAAATTTAGTATATTTTTTATATTTATACGTTCATTCTGCATTCTGTATTTTTACATATTTAGGTCTTAACTGCGGTGACTAAAAGAAAGTTTACTCCGGTTTCTCTGCTGAATAACTATATTTATTTGTCATTTTGGCTAGGTACACGCTTGTGTTATACTATAGTTTATCATTTAGTGAGAAAATTGACAAAATTTTTCAATTCGTATACTCTGAATATATTTGATGGTGGGCGACAATTGGGTTAACTATAGGTGGTTTAAATAAGTTAAAATCAAATTATCAGGATGTCTGCGTTCATGTGTAAAATATTTTGTTTGTATCTTTGCAAAAACGGCGGTTTATTTTAACTAAATACTGTCATTGTTGCATGCAATTTTTTTTATTTACAAGCATATCACATTGTAAGCTTCAATTTTATATTTATCTTGGTAGAATAATACACCGATGGCAAGACACGAATTAGATTGTAAATTCTTAGGAAATAAAGCGCTGTAACCTTAAGTTACTGTATTGTTGACATGACAGCTCAAACTTCAAACACTTTACTATACAACGGTTTATCACGTTGTAACTTATGACGAGGCAGCTCACTCAAACTTCGAACACGATTTACGCTATAAATTGTTGTTAATTTACTTACGGCGTGGACACTCTTTTCAGAGGCAATTTTGTTAATACGTGGTTTAAATAATTAAAATCGAAATTTGCCCTTTGTTGCCATATTATATTTTAAATGCTGTGAAACTAGTTTATTTTGTAGTGAGATAATTGGCAAGCTTCTTTCTCCGTCATAAGTTGTGTTGCAAATTAACGCGACGCTGTGTGATAAACGATCCTGTTAGTTTCAAGCATTTTTTCATTTACAAATTTATCACATTGAATTCGAAACTTTGAATTTGTATTTATCATGCATATTTAAATACTGTTTAAAATACACAGATGGGAAGACAGACAGTTCAAACTTTAAACACATGAATTACACGGAAAATTTTTTGTAAACTACAAACGGTTTATCTAAAAGACTGATTATGATGGAGACCCCTTGGAAATACTTAAAATCAAACTTGCATTTTATCAGCATATCATGCATGTATACATATATATTTCAATGATTCAGTTTCTATATCTTTATTAAGCGGAAGTTTTGTTTAAATGCTGTGGAACTTGATTTTCTTGTATTAACATGATTGACAAGTTTCTTAGATGAGTCGACCAACAAAATAATTTTTGATTTGTTCTTTAAATTAACAACGCTAGCTGAAAATCGACCCGTCCGAGTCTCGACTGTGCCTAATATAGTTTGTCATACATCCTGAATTAATTGTTGCAACGTGCCTTCGTTTACAACATATCACATTATATAACTTATGATAAGTCCGCTCAAACTGCAAACACACGACTGATTAGGCCATGTAAATTCTTGGTAATTTACTAGCGGTTCGTTCGAATATGTCAATAAACAATCTTTCAAGAGGCCGTTTTCTCAAAAACGTGGTTTAAAAAATTAAAATCAAATCTGAACTTTGTCGGAACAACTTGAAACATTTAGTTTCTGACTTAAGAGTTCAAATGCTGTGGAACTAGTTTATCTTGTATATAGTAAGATGAATGACAAGCTTCTTTCTCCTTCAATTTGCGTTAGAAAATAACACTGCTGCCTGATAAACGATCTTGTTACATTCAAGGCACTCGAGTTTAGCTGTGCTTACTATGGAACGCTACTGATGGAAAACGCTTCAAAAGTTTTTTCGTTTGATATAAGTGGTTGAAGTAATTTCAAATTTCACGATTTTCCCAACCTATATTTTAAATTTGGGTTGTTATCTTTACGAAAAACGAAAGAATATATACTAGACCTTTTCAGCTTGCATGCAAATCAATTCATCTCAAATTTTGTGACCAAGGAATAGCCAATAAAACTTCCGCTTCAGGCCATGTTACTCGAAATGGATTAATTTGCATACAAGCTGAAAACGTCTCCGATAGTTTGGTCAATTTGTATTGAAAATGAACCTATCATAAATACTTATATATCTTATTCCATTGCGTAAACGCCGCTTTTGCAACATTGTTTCGATAGCTTTTTGATTTTTACAGAAACTGTATTTACTGTTGGACCTGGTATTGTGGCGTTGTACCCGGGGCGGGAGAATACCTTCAGAGGAAAATACACATATAATAATTGTAAACGTTGGTAACAATCCGACAGAAAAATGACTTTTGTGCGTTTTATTTTCATAGCACTACATATATATTCTAATATCACAGACACAGTAGCTGCATGCTTTATAGGCCTAAAAATTATGCTGATAAAAATTTTTATTATCAGTCATAATCTAAGGTGCTGGGTGCATATATTATATTACCTGCATGTACTTTTTTGGCATAGACTGGAATAGACGTGCTACAATTTTTTTTTAAATGTGTATGCAATGTCACCGTTTACGCAGTCCACTATAACCTACACACGCACAAACTATTCAAGGAATTGTCACGTTTTTACAACCCATAAGTTAACTTAATCTTGATTAGAAGGTAACGTTCTATTTTACTGGTTTATTATTGAACAAGAATGTATCCAAACGTCGCCAAGTTTTTACGGCCGTTATCGGATCCGGGCGTGGCAAAATTTCCACTTCCAGAGTCCTCTGCTGCATAGCCAAGCCATGAATCACATGAGTTACAATTTTTTTCGTTATTGGCTACGAGTCCAATTCGCATTCTTGAATGTCGGCATATATTATTAAACCCTTCCCTGTTGCAGTTTATCTGAAGTGACGAGTCCTCGATCAGAGATTTCCATGCTGCTCTACCAGCGCTCGTTGCCCTGAATTGTCCGTCTGCGATCACACTGTACAGCGATGTTGCGGTGTAGTTGAGGGTCATCCATTTTCTGTCTCTGTTAGACGTCATACCCAGGCAAATCTTTGTGAACGGAGTATTCCAATACGAAGCCAACTTGCTTTCTCTCTCTGTCAATCCTTCCATGCAGACCATCTTGTACTGCGTATGTCTCTTTGTTTGTCCACAGGAAGGAACCATAGATAAATGTATTCTGTAAAAGTAAAAGTTGTTGAAAACTAAAAGTTTTAATTATTATTACAAATTGATTGATCAGAAGTTAATACGCACTATACTCTTCATGACTACAATCTAACCTTAGTCCCATTAAGCTTCATCACTAGTGTCCAGCCTCCAACCCCACATCCTGGGATATCTGTCATGTGACAATATACCTTATATGGTGGTGAGGAATGATTCTTCTGCAAGGTGTAGACACCATTGGGCAATGATCTAGACATGGTTATAAAAAATTTTCTAAGTAAATGTGTAATAAAGGTTGAAACTCATTGACTGCAATAGATTTTTATCCACCAGTATATTTATCTTTTTAACTTACATATTCTTGGCAAAAAGTTCTTTGCAAGATTGTGGAAAAGCCTGCAAAAAACGACAAGAATATATTCGTTTCGACCCACTGAACCACGAATATTTCTTTTTTATTTAGAACTGATTTGTCAACTTTCGACCGTTTATCGTTCTGTTCTAGATCTCTAAATTAATTTAGTAAATCAGAAAACATTTGTAATGCTTCAACCAAATTGCATGTACTTACTCTTAGTGGCGTAACTAGAACGATCATTGGGGGGGGGGGATATTTATTTATCCAGTTCTGGCCTACGAATTTCTTTGTAAGTGCAATGGCTTACAATAGAAATCCATCGAGCAGAACTGAATACCCCTGCTCACCCTAGTCCTATTAGGATTTGTCAACTCGTAGTAATCAAAATCTTTGTGCCGAAGAAAAGCTTTTTCTGGCATCTCTGAAGCAATATCTTGAAGGAATTCACAATTTTTTTCTGAGTTTGAGCATTTTTTGAAATTAGTAGATCTGCACGCTTCGTTATCACGGGCACAAAAGTAAATGCATTCTACTCCCGTTCCTGCCTGGACTTTTTCTATCACTTCGCTGTTTAAACGACGACCTTTGGAATAGTAAAAAAAGAAGGTAAACGTACATTATGAATTATGATGCTAACGAAAATTGTTGATTTTTCTAATCGAAACTTTCCGTAGTCGTATAGGCGGTATAGCACAGGAGGAAGTAATAAAAACATGGTTAAATATTTATGAAGGCGTCTTGCTAATGTAGTCCGTGTGCTTCTCAAGTGAAGAGCTAGACGTAGAATCAAATTAACAAAGTGAGAGGTCATTATGAAATTGCAGTTTAGTTAATAAATGTGACACGAATATTTGAATTTTGTTCAGAAATAGTGAAACATGTATGTATACTCGTAAATAAAGATTTTCTGATATCGCAATCCCTGAATAAAGCCCCTTAAAGTTCCTTTATGAAGTACCATGGTCTCTTTATTGCTTTCAAATTCAGCCAGGAGAAGACTAGCCGAATTCATTTTGGAGATGGGAAACTCTTTCTAATGTGAATTTAGCCGTTTGGACGGGGTCCCATCTGGACGAGAGACTCTTCTTAAACTCGCATTAAGACGGAAAATGAGACGAGTTTCTGAAATATAAACACGGTCGAGGACGGAACAAGGCTAAGGGAAAACAAACAAAATTTTTTTATCGTAATAATTACGATACCCTTTTTAGCATTACCCGACCCATCACACGTAT